CGCCGTGCGCGAGTGAGTGCGTCAGTATATGAACCCCCACCAGGTTTTATGGAGGACGAAGGTGGGGTAGGTGATGAAATTAAGGAGAGTGCGGATGCGTACCGGAAGCGGATTGAGGCATTAAAGAAGGATATGGGTGATGGATGGCTAAAGGTATTTAGCCAGAGTCAGATCAAGACACCTACTTCTACGTGAATATGTATTTAATCGTATAATAGCATAGTGGCTGGGGTCCATGCAACGTTTTACTGTTAAGTGTGACGTGACTGTCACGCCAGGGTTTGTTTCTTTTCAAATTCCAGTCTGATATTTCTCAGTCCACGTCTTCTTACTTTTAGCTCCTTGGCTTCACGTCGTTCTTTACCATTTCATAACCCCAAAGTAAAAGAAACATGGGCGCAAATCTATCAAAGGCACTGGGTTCGTCTACCTCCCCCCGACCCACCATCCTCGTCCCATTTTGACACCTTGGCTCACACCAGGCAAGATTTTTGGAAACAAGGAGATGCGGTTGTTAATGCTGGGTCTGGATGCGGCTGGAAAGACAAGTTTGTTTTCATCTGGAGCCCCCCTCTTGGATTGCTAACATCCTGGTAGCAATTCTTTACAAACTCAAATTGAACCAATCCGTGACGACCATCCCCACAGGTTGGTCCCTCGCGACAATCCTAGTCCGTCTCTGATTAGAGCCTGTGTACAGTTGGTTTCAACGTGGAAACTGTGACGTACAAGAACGTCAAGTTCAATGTCTGGGATGTTGGTGGCCAAGACAAAATTCGACCTCTATGGCGACACTACTACACCGGCACACAAGGCCTCGTTTTCGTGGTTGACAGTCAGGACCGAGAACGAATCGACGAGGCTAAGCAGGAGCTGCACCGAATATTGAGCGACCGGGAAATGAAGGACTGTTTACTCTTGGTCTTTGCGAATAAACAGGATCTTCCAGGAGGTGAGTGTTGACGCTAGAGGTCTCTTCATAATCATGAGTACTGTTTCTAGCAATGTCACCTGCTGAGGTGACCGAAAAGCTGGGCCTACATAGAATGCGGGATCGGTCCTGGTACGTTCATCCGAGGTACGTCCAATGGTTCCCAACTTCGGGGAATACCAACCAAATTCCCCCAGCTGTGCGACGACAGGAGAGGGCCTTTTTGAGGGTCTTCAGTGGCTATCTCAAAACGTTAAAAAGCGTCAGCAATAGATTTCCTTTCGACCGACGCTGGCGTACCCCTCTTGCTTTCTTGGCTCTGTGATGTCCCTAAATATGTGTGGAAGTTTTTGTGCATAACATTCCCCTTTCTCTCAAATACCCCATTTCATGCTCTCCTTTTCCTTAAATACCACAGTACTACTCATGGCCATGCACGAAACCTCGCAACGTCTGAACGGACAATCCCATAACCTTTGTCCACGTCCTCTCTATCTTTTTCTCCCTAGCCTCTTGCAATCTACCCCCTCATTCGTACCACCGTACATACTAATTGGGCGGCTGATTTATTCTCAATTTAATGGACATGATTGGCCTCAGCATTGAGGGTAGGATTAGTCATGGACGTAAATGTCGTGCTCAGTACACCATTATGCCTCACCGCCTGGACATATTAAACCAACTATTTCCCCTCTGAAATACAAGCATATTTCATGTCGTTAGTCTCCCGTGTTCGTGGCTTTGCTACAAATTCTTCTGTCCAGGGTTTTACCGGAGCAATTGGAAATACGCCACTAATCTACCTCAGGGGCCTTTCAGAGAAAACCGGGGCCCACATCTTTGGCAAAGCAGAGTTCCAGAATCCAGGCGGAAGCGTCAAGGACAGAGCTGCTTTAGGAGTGGTCGCTGATGCAGAGGAAAGAGGATTGTGCGTATCTCATATTCATATCCGAGTCGTTCAAATTATTCAAGGTTGCCCCATAGAATAAAGCCTGGTGGAACCGTAGTCGAAGGGACGGCAGGGAATACTGGTATCGGCCTCGCGCATGTCTGCAGAGCGAAAGGTTACAATTGTGTGATCTACATGCCCAATACCCAAGTATATGATCCATTCTCGTGGAATTCACCATTACTGACCGCGAGGCAAGAGTCAGGAAAAAATAGATTTACTCCAAATGCTCGGGGCAGACGTTCGACCCGTCCCAGCTGTTGCGTATGACCATCCGGAAAACTACAACCATCAAGCTCGCGATTACGCAAAGGAACTTCCCAACGCTATCTGGACCGATCAGTTTGACAATACTGCCAACGCTAGTGCACATTATGCTTCTACGGGGCCTGAAATATGGGACCAAACAGGGGGAGACCTAGACGGTTTCATCTGCGCAACAGGAACCGGAGGTACCTTGGCTGGGGTAGGACAGTATTTGCAGGAGAGAAGTCGGGGGAAGACCCAAATATGGCTTGCGGATCCGCCTGGCAGTGTATTGAACAGCTATGTCAACAGCGGCGGGAAACTGATAGAGAGGACTGGGAGTTCCATTACTGAAGGTTGGTATCCTTAACCCCTTTTACAAGATTTATGGTATACTTACGGCCAACTAGGAATTGGTCAAGGTCGTATAACCAACAATCTAGGAACCATAGTCAACAAGCTCTCCGGTGCATTTACAGTTCCCGACGAAAAATCGATTCGGATGGTTTATGATTTACTCGACACCGAAGGTCTCTATCTAGGTGCCAGCTCAGCCCTCAACGTCGTGGCTGCCGTTGAACTCGCATTAAAACTCGGCAAAGGTGAAATAAACCATTTGTGCTTCCCATCATCAGTCTTATTTTGCAAATAGGATCCAAGGTTGCGACTGTTTTATGTGATGGAGCATACCGATATCAAAGCCGGCTATTCTCGAAGGCATGGCTAAAAACTAAAGGTCTTCAAGATTCTATTCCTGCCCATCTAAAAAAATATGCCGTTTTGGACTGAGTTTCGGGAGAGGGGGTGAATTCTATGTGACCAAATACTGTCATGACTGAGCGAGAATGATCGCGAGTCTAAACTATTCCTTGAAATACATACTGATTATGAGTGGGAGTGGAGGGGGGGGGGTCTGCGAATAATATAATCATCTAAATGTAAAAACATTATGAAGGATCCCTGTGGGAGGCATCCGGAGGCGGGGGGGTTGATGGGGCAGTAGGTGGGTCCACTGGTTGCTCAGCAAGCTTTGCTTCTGCTTCTATCCTTTCACGCGCGCGAACCACCTTGGATTGAAGGTAATGTGAATTAGTTGGCAGGGGTGCTTGTTTGCCTGTGGGTGCCTTGTCTGGTTTTGGTGCGGGTGAATTGGCCTTGAACAAGTGCTCATAATTCTACGAAGGATTGGGTGTTCTGGTTAGCGGAAATATCCAGATGAACACACCTTTAACACCTGTTCCATTTCCTCCCCACGCTTGATGTTAAGAATCAAATGCGCTTCGTCCAAAGTCATCCGGTGTTGTCGCGTTATTTGATCAGTCATCGACCCAGATGTTGCGTGTCCAACGCCGGCTACATCGTTACCAAGAGCAGCTTGGGGCGACTGTTTTGCGTCTATGCGAGTCAGGTCAAAGTGCAGCTGAATGAGCAAGAGTAATACTTTTTACTGCCTGCCTGCCCGCTTCAAAGAATGCCTTGCCCAGTATTTTGGTTCCTGTTACCAGAATTTGAATGAGGATTTTTGGAGATGCCTATAAGACTTGTTATCAAATAAAATATCTGCTCCAAGTTAACATACCATAACCGACGAAAGAGAACCAGAGGATGATATCCTGGCTGGTGTTGGACGACAGAAATAAACGGATCACGTGGCACCTGAATTTTCGCCGCTCTTGGATGTGATTGGCTGCCCAACTCTCATCCCGGCGATGTCTTATCTCAAGGAAAAGTCGCCCAAGAAACGAAAGCATGGAGAAGGCAGTTCTCGAACACCGGCAAAAAAGTCTAAAAGGGAGAGCGCAGCAGAGAGCAAGGATAAGGAGACCGACTTTCAAGTTGTGAGATCATCACTAGTTGTTTCGATACCCCCGATATTTGCGAGCAGTCCGAGAGCCGGTGTGATGGAAATGTTGGATTCGATGGTAATGAGGTATTCCCCCATCCGAGAATTATCTATATCAACAATCATACGAGATAACAGGTACATTCCTACCCTCCAGGGCGTCGTGCTTTCGCATTCGAATCTCCGTTTCACCGAGAATACTGGGTTAGTTCAAGCAGATTGTCCATTCCTTATATGCAATGTCATATTTGATGCGATGGTATGGAGTCCACGCGTTGGTATGACACTTGGTGAGTGCCATATTTGTCCCTGGCGTGCATCCACCTCATCATCCACAATAGCGGGGAAGATAAATTTATGCTCTCCCGATCATATATCGCTTCTTCTCCATCGCACATTCAACATATCCATACCTCGACACCATATTCCCGAAGATCGCTGGGAGTTTATCTACGGCCCAGCGGAAAATGACCCAGAATTTGGGCCAGACGCGCAGGAGGTCAATAAACTACATGGGGATGGTGAAGGGAAATGGATCACAGGCTAACAAGTGAAAACGTCGGCGGACCAGGAGGATCTCTCGAGTTTACTGTTATCGGGTATGTACTAACTGTTGGAACACAGGCGACTCATCCCTAATTGATTCTTCTCTATAGACTAACCGTCGCGAATGAAATGCTTTCGCTGTTAGGCTCCATCCAAACGGATCCATTTTCACCAGACCACGTTCCTCGAGCCGGGCCTTTGAATGACACAAGTGGCGGGACAGGCTCTGACAGCGAGGGGTCTGGCGAACCAGATGAGGGAATGTACAACGAAGACGCACTCGAGATTGCGTCTGATGACGAAGAGGATACGTTTGTGAAGTTGGGCCTGGAGGCAGATAAAGCGGCATCCCGGGAAGCCAAGCGCAAGGCCGAGGTGGCGGCACAGGTCGCGAAAGAGGAAGTGGGACCCAAGAGGAAAAAGAGGAAAGATAGGCAGCAAGCAGGGCGTTGAGTAGAAAATGTATTGCGATGAAAAAGACAACAAGGCGCTACCAGGGTTCGAACCTGGGTTTCGAGAAGCTTCCAAGAGGTCAGAATCTCGAGTGATAACCACTACACTATAGCGCCGTGTCATGCAAGCAAAGGATAGTGGATATGTCGGCAGAGCTAGTGTCCAAAGCAAGGACAGTCACCGCATGCTGGTTACCGTGCCCCTATCTTGAATTATGACCACGAATCCGTCTCATATATTGATTGCTCGCAACTCTCGTGGGACGAATAACCCTTCCGCATCCCTCAGTTCTCCAACGGAGACTCATGCTGCCGCTGCTGGCATATTTAGGTCTTCCGGTTCTCCGCCTTGGTTGCTCCAGGAATGCGATGCAGATGACACCGTCTCCGAGTTCAGCATCGACGCCGGCGAGGAAGCTATCGAAATCCACGAAACATTCACAAAACACAGTAGATTTCCTGGCACGGTCAAAATCGTAGTTGAGAGTACCACCTTTTGGTTTGCAGCATTCACCCAAGTCGTTACCATCCTTAATTATCAACGTCTTACAGGGCACACAAGGAGGTCCTCTTCTTCGCCTCTCCCTTCTTCGAGGCTGCCCTTAGTGGTAATTGGTCAGAAACCGGTCGGCCACCATCCATGTCCTCTATCATCACCATATCCCAGCCTCCATCCATCCCTGGCGACAGGAATAATTATGAGGTCCCGACAGAGATGACTTTTGCGCCCATGGATCCTGACATGGACCCGGATAGTTTAGAAATAGCTGTTGACATGGACACTGCCAAGGCCAGCACTGATAATGGTTCGACGAGTGAGGGCGAGGGCGAGAGCGAGAGCGAGGGCGAAGCGACAAACCCTGATTCTGCTCCCAAACAGGCAGCGCGGGCGCGGGCAAGAGATCAAAGCTTAGCCAAGCTTCAGAACGTCGACCTCGGTCCTGATGCCAATACCCAACCCCAACCAACCGTGCAGGGCGCAACGGAGGCAGGTCCATCTCGCGCCAAGGTCTTACCAGCACAAGCCACCATCAGACGACGTCTGAGGGACGGCCCAGACGCTGTAATCGTCCTCAAGGAGGAACGGGTAGGCTCATTTTTCTACGTCCTCCAAGCCCTTCTTAATAAGATTACGCAGGCAAGTACATTCCACGATTTTCTTCGATACGTGTATCCTCAGTGCGTCATCTCATTTCACCCCAAACTCCCTCTCTCATCGCAACGGCGCAGCCTGGAATGCACCATCACTTGGAATAATGTTGAGAGTTTGATGAATATTTCACACAAGCTCTGCGTTCCATCTTTACAACGCGAATGCCTGACATTTTTACTCACCCACGCTGCTGGGCGGCCAATCAAGGCTATGCGAATCGCTGAGCTTTTTGAGGAGGAGGAGCTATATCGGGAATCAAGTCGTTTCGTCCTTGATAACCCCGGGGGGTGGACAGAGCATGAGTTGAATACCCTGAGTCAAGAGACTCTGCTCAAGCTTGAAAAAAGGTTTGAAATTTGAGTTCCCTGCGCATATCTGGAAACCAACCTAATTTTCGATAGGCGAACATGGTTTTTAGAACGAGTACTAAAGCTTGGGCTCACCCTGGTTGCGAAAGAATATCAATGTGTAAGGTGGCTTAGTCAAGGTGTATCATCACAATCACTCTAATTTTACCTAGTGTCCAACATGCCCAGACTCTGCCATATGTGCGCGGTTACTTGAAGAGAAGTGGCGACAGGCCTACCATGCGGTGTTCCGTTTCGGTACTTTGGGTCTTAGTTGCTTCATTCGTGGCTCAGTAGCTGATGCCTTCCTTGCCCAGGACCTCCTCAACCGTCAATGGTTTACCGCTATCTGCGGATGTTGGAAGGAGTGAGCCCACCACTATCCCTCACGCAGACAGCCTGTCAAACGAGCGCGAAAGCATTTACCGCAACCTGTAAGCTACAGCGGCTTTTCGTCTCAACCGTACACCTCACTAGATTGATAGTATTCGACCGCATGTTCTCTTTAGGTGTTCGCGGCAGTGGTACTGATACTGCGCCGCTTGGCGCGCGAGTCGCAGTCGCTGCGTGGCTGGAGCAGCAACCGGCCCCGTCGCCATTTTTTGTACTGTTCGCTGAAGCCAGATTCAGGCGTGCACCGAACCACAAGATCAAGGGAACCATTATAATCTCTGTTATGTCAGATTGCAATCTAATCAACCCTATACATCCGTTAATCCGGAACGAAAAAGATACGATGGGGGTATAATGAGGAATAATACCACAGAGGAAAAAGATACGAGTAGGAAATATGGGCGGGAAAATGAATGTTTGATCTTTGCGAGAGGCCCGTGTGGAGTGGGTTCTAGAATTGGTCCTCTGTCATATAGTAAATATTTATCAGCCTGAACCATCGTGTCCAAATATCAATGGCGCATTGTCTACAAGCCATTCTATCGAGAGCGCCTTGCCAGCCATATCGCTGAATTCGGCAGCGGGATCTCTTGACCGCATGAGAGTTGCTTTATAAACTTGTTAGGCAACCGTAAACAAGGAGACGTAAAGGCTTACGACCGAAGACGACGCCCAAGTTTCGAGCATTCATCAAGTTCTTTTCGGAACGATCCCGGATGCTAAGAGAGCGGTTAAGGGTAAACCTAGGGTGTGTGGGATGGATAACACACTGGAATAAATGCATCATGAGCAATCGCAACGTGCAGTAATGTTCAGTGGGCAAGCGATTGACTAAATCTAAGAGAGCCTTGTTTCTTGCTGGTGGGTCCCGCAAATGAGCAGCTGACATAAATTGTTCATGTAGCTCGAAGGTGAGGAGTGGAACTGGGAGAGAACGGAAATATGTCTTGAGAACTGAGGTGACACTACTAATATCGTTGAAACGGTCCGCATCAGTTAGGTCGAACGAGTCGTAATCCGCGCGCTCGAAAAACTGAGTGATAGTTTTGGTCTGGCCTGAGCCACCAGTTTTGCGATAGATGCCCTCATAGTCCAATGCTGGATGTAGCAGTTAGTATGTATTCTATTTATGTGCAAGTCACCAACCTCGCGCTTCAACGGCCGTGATGCATTTTTCAACAATGATAGGGATTTTCCGATGCCCCCCTTTGGCATCGGAGCGAACTTGTTCGGTGAGATCACGTCCGAACATAGACGGCGCTATGAAAACAAAAGTCAATGAAAGGGCGATAGAATGATAGCTGCAACCACTCACGTAAATGATGCTGCTGGTGGAAATCATCCCGCCCACCTGGGTGGTGGGCGCAGGGAGTGCTGACATGAGGAGAGCAGCGGACATGGATTGAAATGTTGCAGGCTGTAAATACAAACATTAGTATTAGAGTCGTGTAGATGGGGGGAGACGCACCAGTGCATCGGAGCTGGGAGCCCCAGAGTGTATCTCCACAATGATCACAACGTGTGAATCTCAGGACACTTATTTGTTGGAAGTTGTGGTCAATGGGGGTCTTAGCTCTATTTTCCATTGACCCAGAAACAGAAATGGGATGAGCAGCTTCCTTTGCCTTGGAGCCGGGCCATTTGAATTTTTTCGATGGTGTGTGGAGATCATAATCCGATTTTTGTGCCCTAATCGTTCGAGGATCTAGCGAGTCGTCATGAAGTGTAGAGGTTGAGGAGCTTAGGGATGGGGCAGCGTGGACTTGGGGCCTTGGCCTGTCAAGTGAGCCTCGGGACATGGTCGGATTTATGGGCTTAGAGCTTTCAGGTATAGTTTCCATGCGACGTGCGTATACTGCGGTCAATTGCGCTAACTCTTCGTTTCTAGCGTTCAGAGCAGTGGTTTCCTCAAGACAGTCATCCCGTACGGCCTTGAGTTCTGCGATTTCCCGTGCAAGGGTCTCCCGTTGTTGTGTGAGTGGGATGAGCTCTCGCTGATATTGGTTTTTAATAGTATCCAGGCGTTTCGTGAAAGAGCGGCTGAGATTATTCGGTGGAGTGTCAATGGAACTTGGTCCTGAGCTAAGGATGGGCATGGTTAATACAAGGAGTGTGGTGTGGGTGTTGAAGTAAACCTTTTTGTGGCTGAGAGTTCCTCAACCTCAGCTAAAGTCATATCACGCTCTACCTTGAGCTTAGAAAGATCTTGTTCTAGACCGGAAAGATTTTCGTTGAGTTGTTTGGACAATTGTTGGCGAAGTTCATGCTTGCGTGTGTCGCCAGATAATGCAGTAAGTCGGGCGGCCTGTCCAGAAAGCAGTATCCGCAGGCGTGTAACCTCGGCCTCTGCGTCTCTCCGTGATTTAAGTTCACGGTCATATTCTGTTTGAGCCACTGTCAGGCCGTCGATGTATTGTTTGCTCGTCCGCTGGTGAACTTCTGTTAGTGGCCATATTATAGCTTCCATGATACACACCGACCTTTATGCCATCAAGTTTTAATTTTAACTCTGCGTATTCCGTGTGATGCGACTGCAACGCGCCCAATAGAACCTCCACGAAACCCCTGTCGAATATCACTGTTGCACTCCACGCTCCTTAGCATCTGATACTGCCTCTTGGAGGCGTGATACCACAATATCAGGGGTATCACGTCGAAGGGTTGTTGGGTTAGAGGAGCCAGGTTCCGTGAGGGTGATGAGAGTCGGATTCTTCGTTTCTACCAGAACACTGGATGGCTGGCGGCCGGGTTCTGGCGTATCCGCAAGTGTTGACGAGCGAGAAAATGAGCGAGTTGAGATATACTCGGGCGAGAAAAGACGGTTGCAGGTGTCCGGGGCTCATCTTGCGATAATTCAGAAGGAGCTGCTGTAGGGGATTCGTTACGGTCATCACTCCCTGGGGGGCTCGCGATAGAGTCCAAATCTTTACCGTTAATTATTTCGATGGCTTTCGATGGGGGCGAGACTGTGTCAGTCAAGGGATTAATATTGGCTGAGGTTGTTGGGGGGGATGATGGGACGGGAGAAAGTGTGATAGTGTGTTCTGTGTCTTGTTCGGAAAGCCTGGCGAGGTAGTCCAGAGATTTGAGCGATGGGAGACCACCTACTGAGCTGAATAATTCCGAGAAATCAGCGGTATTCATAGAAAACCGAATGGGAGGAAGAGCAGGAGCAATGAAAGTCGCATGAGAAGTATGTTCCACCGGGGAAGATTCTGATAGGT